CCAATATTAGACTTTTTTTTTTTTGAAGGGCTCTAATATTAGACTCATATCCATGCTAAATAAAGAAAAAATCTTTTTAAAATTCAAATCAATAGAGACTTTTTTTTAAAACTCAAATCTTTAATTGTGAGATTATACTATTTTTTAAATATTCAATTGTCATATTTTATCTTTTTTTAAATTAGATTTTTATTCATTTAAATTTGAATTTTTTTTCTTTTAAATTTGAATTTTTTCATTGAAAAGTTCTATACTAAATCAACATTTTTATCTTTTTTTTTTATTTAAATTTAAACGAGAGTTTGGGTTTCATCAGAGATGGTATAAGAAAAAAAAAAGAAACTTATATATGTCCATATCCTTATATGTTGATGACTTGTCACTTCAATAGCGTCAAACCACTCCACGTCTATATTTTCAATAAGAGTAATATTTTTTAAATTTAAAATTTTAATATAATATGTAAATTTAAAAATTTGATTTAATTTATTGACATAATAATATAATTTTATAAAATTTATTAAATTAATATCAAATTTTAATATTTAATGAGATCTATAATCAATTTAAATGTTACAATGTACGGTATCAATAAATTAAGTCTGAATATTATCGGTAAATTCAACCACCACAATAAACCTATATATTTAATTCAAACCCACACAATATCATTGGATCTGTGATTCTGTATCTATATCTATCTCCCTCCTCCTCGCTCTAGCTACTCTCTCTCTCTCTCCATGGAATACTACAGCAAGAGAACTCTTTGCAGCTTCATAGATGAAGAGAAGAGAGCAATACAATCTCCAACTCATCTCCCCTTCAAACCCCATCAACAAATATCCGATCAAGACATTCACCTCAGCCCTTCACGGCCCTCCACTCCATCCGCCACCATGGATTCAATAATACCACCGCCATGCCCAGACTCTCCATGGACTCTCTCTCCTCTCCAAACCCCATCACCCTCCCTCCTCTACCACTGCATCGCCTCACTCCACCGTCAAGACGGCACCATCTACTCCATCACCCTTTCCCGTGGAATAGTCTTTACTGGGTCGGAGAGCAGCCGGATTCGTGCTTGGCGGCAGCCGGACTGCGTAGAACGAGGTTGTCTCCGGGCAAGTATCGGCGACGTCCGAGCCATTTTAGCTTATGGAAACATGCTCTTCTCTTCACATAGAGACTTCAAAGTCCGAGTGTGGAATGTCACAGCTTCTGAGAACTTTCGAGCCAAAAAGGTTACAACCCTACCGAGAAAAAGATCATTTCTCATGGCTTCTAGGGCAAATAGTCAACAACACAAGGCTTGTGTCTCATGCATGGCTTATTACCATGCAGAAGGGCTTTTGTATACTGGGTCATGGGACAAAACAGTGAAGGCATGGCGGATTAGTGATGGCAAATGTGCAGACTCTTTTCTTGCTCATGAAGATAATGTGAACGCCATTGTTGTGAATCAAGAAGATGGGTGTGTTTTCACTTGCTCCTCTGATGGGTCAGTGAAGATTTGGAGGAGAGTCTATGGACAAAACTCACATACCCTAACCATGACCCTAAAGTTTCAACCTTCACCTGTCAACGCCATGGCTTTGAGCTCATCACTTAGCTCTTGCTTCCTCTACTCTGGATCTTCAGACGGGTTTATAAACTTCTGGGAAAAGGAAAAAATGTCTGGAAGGTTCAACCACGGCGGTTTTTTACAGGGACATAGATTCTCTGTCCTGTGCTTAGTTACAATAGAAAAGCTGTTATTCAGTGGGTCAGAGGACACCACCATTAGGGTTTGGAGGAGAGAGGAAGGAAGCTGTTTTCATGAGTGTCTTGCTGTGCTTGATGCCCATAGAGGGCCAGTGAAGTGTTTGGCTGCTTCGCTGGAGATAGAGAAAGTGGTGATGGGGTTTATTGTGTATAGTGTTGGGTTGGATCAGACTTTTAAGGTTTGGAGAGTTAAGGTTTTGCCTGATGAGAAGAGTTTGTGTTTGGATGGTACGAATTTCAGAGATTCAAAGATGAAGATTATGGAGTATGAGATGAGTCCTGTGTTGTCTCCTTCATGGGTGGAGAAGAAGCTTCAGGGTAATCACCCTTTTCATTAGGCCATGGCACATTCCATATAGGTATAGATAGCCAAGGAGCTATATTTCTATATATCGTACTCGAGTATACTTTTCTTTAATTTTACTCAATAATAGATAAGTAATTATGTATTTCAATGAGTTTCATGTAATATAAGATGATTCCCACCAAACCCTGTCACAGACAAAAATTGAAAGAAAATGTATGGCGGGATGTTCAACCATGTCTAGACCTTTGAATTCCCTTTTATCGCATGATGTCTAATTTGTTTATATAATAATGTAGTTTTAGCAAAATTATTGGATTAATACTAAATTTCAATGTTTGATGGGTTTCACAGTCAATTCAAATGTCATAGTAAACTATGTTAATAAATTAGATTACAATAGCATTGCTTTTAAAAATTGATAAAATTTATTAGAGTAATACTATAGAGATTTAAAAAATTAATCAAATTTATTAACCTAATGATGTGATAATAACATAGTTCAATAGTATTATTGTGACTGTAACCCTTAAACTTCTTTATTGAGACACCATAACTTGATATATTATTATATCAACAAATTATGTCAATTTGTTAGGTCCTTGATGATTAATGTTTTTGGGATCTAAAAATCTGACATAATCTGTTGATCTAATGATGTGAATTCATTATAACCAGGATTAAGTTTCAATGTTTGATGGGATTTACAATTAATTCAATGACTATAGTGAATTAAGTCAGCAAATTAAGTTAATAAATTAGCTCTCAATAGCATTGTTCTTTACTGATATGATGATATATCAACTATCAAGTGATGGACTCGCAATAAAAAAATTCAACAAACACAATAATATTATTTAATCATGTCACTGTCACAATAATATTACTCTATTTATAAATGATTTAATATTGGTGAAATTGATTCACCACCTGAAACACAGAGATGTCATAAGACCCTTAATCATACATTGCATAAGAAATGGACAGAGGGATGATTATGTCAAATGGTCTTTAACAACTAATGGGAATTTCAGCACAGCCTCGGCATGGAAGCATGTTAGAACTGCAGCCCTGTTGTTCACCGAAAGAAGCTGGTATGGTATAGTCCCCTAATTCCTATAATGACTTTCATACTCTGGTTGGCCATCAAGTTGAAGTTGAGCACCAAGGACAGAATGCAAAACTACTTAGGAACACAATGTATACTTTGCAGAACAGTAGAGGAATCCCACTACCATCTCTTCTTTGAATGTAATTACTCAAGCAGACTCTGGAAACAAGTACTTGAAATGAACCAACAGCATTGGCAACCTAGACCATGCAGTGAGTTTATTCATTGGGCAAGTTCACAGTGGAAAGGAAAGGCATTGGCAACAACAGTCAAAATGAAATTAAGCTCATCTGTTACTGTATATGCGATATGGAGGAAAGGAACAGTAGTGTGCAAGAATAATTTTTATGATAGCTCAACACTGTCATCCATCATCAAGCATACAATTAGAGACAAACTAAGCTCCCTCAGGTTCAAGGGTACTCCTCAGAATCACTATATTACTTTTGGGTGCCACTGTGTCAAATTATTTTTCATCTTTGTATATTACTTTCTGCAAACTAAAAAAGAATTAAAAGAATTCCAACCAAGAAAAGTCTTGTGGATGTATTTGAAAATTTTAAAGTATGGTGTGAATTTCATAATTTTTTAGAATTCGATGCATTAATAGAAGATTTAGGATTCCTTGTACACACAGCCCTCCTTAACAAACTCCCTTGGTTTCACCTATTTTTAGGACTCATATTCGAATCGAACTTTGCGAATTTGAGTCGAGTTTGTTGAGCTCATTTTTTAAAATTTGCTTAAAAAATTATTCAATATTCAATTCATTTAGAAAACAAACCGAGCCCAAGCAGCTCAACTATTTTACATATAAAAAAACCGAGTTTTACAAACTGAGCCGAACTTTTTTAGGCTCGTATTTCTAAACGAGCCTAACAAATTATTTAAGTTCGATTCATTTAGAAAACGAGTCGAACCCGAATAACTCAACTCGATTATCAGTCTTACATGCTTCAGATACGCCCCCATTTACACCATATGACAATATCATGTAATGTGTTAAACCCCCCACTCTAACTTTTTCTCATGCTATTTGAGAGATAACAGGCATTAACAGAACACAACAGCTTTGGATCACCCATGATCTTCTTGCTGTACTAATGTAAAGCTGGAAGTGTGAATGTTATTTGATCTACTAGATGTTGCAACCAAATTACCACAATGAGCAATAGTAATGTATCACCACACTGGCTCAACTACTGATCCTTTAATGAGATATTGAAGACTGCTGAGAAAGAGTAGCTCAATGTATGAATACAGACAACTACATGATTATCATTGCATGATGAGTTGAATCCTCATTACCATTTTACCATATTCCCTTTATTATATTTTTACCAAACGCATTTATGTTTTTGATTTTTACAAAAAGTGAAAACAAAAACGAAAAACTGGAAACAAACACGGGTACCAAACAGGGCCTAGAAGTAGTGTTTTTCTCTTTCAATTTCAAATTTAATGTCTCAATTTGAGATTCCTAAATTTATGCGGTAAGTTATTGTATTTGGAGGATAAAAAAAGGTTCGATTATGGCTTGTTCAAGGTCTATAAGGGCGTAATATTATTACCAACTTAGTTTCTGCTATCGCATTAAGCTTATCAATTTTTCTTAAAAAACGATTTACCCAAGGAATTCAACAACATCAAAGTACCCTTCTAAAAGATTGACCCACAATATAAACAGGCCAAAGGGAGGACATGGTAATGGGCAGTGGTAAGCATAGCAGGCCGAATACAATGCTTGGAACATACAGTTATCTGAGAGGATCAAAGGTTTTGTGACTCCTTTTTTTGGCTTGACCACAGAATGTATAGCTCAAACTCATTCAAACTTTGTTAAACATTAATAGAAAATACATAAATTCATCGTAACATATCAATGCAAGCAATTCATGTCTGGAACATAGAATTCTTGTCACTGCACAAATGCAAAATACATGCCAACAGGTCCAAAAAAAAAACTGTAGATCACGAGGGAAAGCAAATGCATCAATCCACTTGAACCATTTGGTTAAAATTTGCCTCTTTGCAAATAGCAGCAGACACGAGAAGAATAAGAATTCGACAATTATACAAGGATAATGTCTAGCCTCAGGAAAAAGGGTAATAAATTAGACAAAAAAAAAACTTCGAGCTGATTTCATGCTGCTATGAAATGGATGAATATACAACCCGCAAACACAAACAGTGCCTGTGCATCCTACTACCAGCCAACACATATTGCACGAGCATCCTAGCAAGCATCACCTGAAACTGAGGCGAGTAGACAATAGCAGATACTTATGGTTCTTGACCAATTTTCACTGCGAAAAAAACAGAAGGAAAACACCTATATATTAGACAACCATCTTAACACAGGAAGACCATATGAATAATCAGTGGAGAAGGGAGGGGCATTAACACGATATATTGATAACAGGCATATAGGAAAGAGAATTGCTCTGTAAATAAAGAATATGAAATTATTAGGAGGTAAGAGGGTGCTTAGTTGATACATGGAAGTTAGTATCTATATCTTACCTTGGAACTTGGAATGGTTCTCTATACCGTGTAAACAGAGCAATGCATATCATGGCCATCAACATGAAGAGGCAGCTATCCAGCAACCCTTACATGTAGCTCAGAAGAAAAAGTCTCATTGAGGTTATTTTAGAAGTTGGTGATAGCCTTTAAGCAGGAATCAGCTTGAATATGTATTTTGTGTGATGAATGGATTAGAAACACACACACACACACAGAAACAACAGTATTTTTTAAAAATATCATATCATAGTCACTTGAAAATAATTAATTATATCATTCTCATTTCTGTTCCCTCATTCCTTCAAGTCTGATAAACAGAAATTGAGTTGTATCTTCAATAAGAATGGGATTGTTCAATTTCATGTGGCATCCAAAGAACCCATAAATGAGTATTTGCACTCAGATAAAACCGTTTCACAGCTTAATAAAACAAGGAGAAGCGAGTCAAACATTGAACAGAACAAGCATAAACAAAACAAAGCAGTTATGGAAAACCACAACTAAGCAATTCAGATTCTAAAAGACACTAACCTTCCCTCTGTCCCATTGCTATTGTCAGTCCCATAAAACCTTTCATGCAAGTGGAGCAATGGCATCTAGATTATTCTTCATGAGCCATTCGCGAGGATAGTAATGTTTTGATTCAACATGAAGACGCCAAACCATGATCCTTGAACAGTCTTGTGGAAAGCCTTCCATTTGACTCTCATCCTCTACAACTTGTTCAATAAATGTGCTAACCTGAAATGAAAATTAGTAAGGTTATCCATAAAAAAAAGCCGCATTACCCAATTTGGTCTCAATTAATGAAGGGTCATGGGAGAAGTCCTAACATTTTTAAATATTTGCACAAAGTGACTCATTTACTACTGCAAGAAACCATGGCCTTAAGGATTAATTACAGATTTAGTTACAAAGTTCCTTAACACCTTTTATCCTCATTTAAGTTTTTACTTTTTGTTATTATTTATTTATTTTTTCTTCATTTTAGGTGGGGTGCAGATGGGGGAAGCTCCTGATTAGCTCCAGTTGTGTTATATGGAAGGAGCATGTCTCACTTCAGCATAAAAAATAATTGTACTGTAAAGTCAACTGCCGAGCTGTAGTGATTAAAAAGATAGAAGCATTCGCACATTTCATAATTTGTGTACGAATGTATGAACATGTATTTTACAACCTCTCGAAACTTTTAGATGAGATGGCAGTTTAACATGAGATGAGAACAAGAAGTCCTCCATTCAAATATCACTGTCAAGCTGATAACAATAAGACTTGCACGCGTTTTGTCCAAAACCCAGCCCGCACGTGAAGGTGCGTGGTGAAGTATATCAATATTTAGTTGCACCCTCTCCAGTAACTTTAACTTTCAGAGAAAATGATAGTTTCACTATTACAGTTTCATCAATGTCAAGACTATAAGAGAGGAAGAGAAGACTAACTTGGAGGCCCGTCTTGACTGTATCAAGCTGCCTAATAAGCTCCATAGTAGGTCGATGCCATCTCTTTGGATCCCAAAGTATAGCACTATCGAATGCAAACCCTGACATTTCAGCATAAAATCTCTGAAATCTTCTCGTCTCATCATCTGTGTGCCATCCAACAACCTGAGAACCATTACAAATTGGACCGTCAAAATTAGCTTTCCTTTGGCTCTCCAGTAGTGTGGCCACTGTCCATGCCCCAAACCGCCTGCGAGTCCAGAAAGTTGGCTGTGAAGAAAAGCTCATGTGGATGGCAAGAACAAGAGGGAACAAAGGGATAATCCATTATCTTATTGAAAACCTAATCAGCCAATTATATAACTCCAAAAGCAAAGAGTGGTGAGAAAAAAACCCAAAATGCCCTGCTGGAAGAATTAAAAAGATTGTGAGAGAAGGAATTACATATATGGGTTAAGCAGGCATTTCAAGGGATTACAGTTGCACTAAACACAGAAAAGATATATGCAAGATATATCACAGCATGGGCCATATCATTCTTCTATAGGTATTGACATAAAAAATCTAAACAGAAATTCTGGAAAATCGTAAAAAGACTTTAATCCTTTCTCTTCTGGGTGTTTCTGTATATATTCAAGTATAAACAAATCAACAAAAGACATGAGCAAGACAGTCTAAGACGATCAAAGACTTTAGGCTACAAATCATTTATACGTGTCATTCTAATGAATGTAATCAGTCAACAGCAATTAAAACAGTAATAGGGAGCTACAAGTCCACAAACTGCAATGGAGACAACACATGAAGGTAGAGCAGGTAGTCTAACCTAAAAAGAATTAAGCATTTAGTGGGCCAGGAAGACATTTTGGAGACAAAACGTCAGGGGGTCTCTATGAAATGATCTACAAATGTAAAGGGGTCTCCATTGTATTACAGAGGATTGTCGTGTCATTTGACCTAATGTCAGGGAGCTGTGTGAAATTGACCCTATTCATTAAAACACTTATATAAGCATATCAAAGCTTCCAGATTGGCTTAGATACTCTTTTTAAAAGTTGTCATTATCATGGAAAAACAGAAGGGTGAAGGCTTTTTGAAAAAGCCTTTTTTGTCTTGTAAATGCATTTTTTTAAAGAGAGGGGGCTTCAAGTTCTTAGGAAGAGTCATACGAGGATGTAAGGTCCGAGGGCTTAGGTCAACACTTATTTAATAGCCAGTCTTCAATTGGAAGCAGGCAAGATGGTGATGAATTGCAATTGGTCTAAACCTTCGACCAACGACTTATTGCAACCTGCGCAGAATGCCCATACATACTAAGACCTTGTTCACACAACGAAGAAAAGCAGCTGAGTGGTCAGGGGCAGTCAGCTAGCTAGCTGACTGCTTCTTCCCCATGCCCCCCTGCTTATGGATACGAGATATTTGATATAAATTCTCAAATAGGAAATTGCATACCATTAGCCGATATATGTATAGGAACATGGATACATGATATTGAATGTAATCCAGGTCAAGGCGCAAAGCTGGCTCAAGCCGTAGGAACTTTTGCTAAAATAATAAAGTAACCAGCACCCCTTACACTCTCTTAAAGGCTTGTGCCGCTACCTTCAGGAAGCTTGAGGCATATGACAAAGTTTCTAAATTGATGGTAATGCATGATTTGAAAAAGCAACTCCAAATTATATTCCACATGAAATTAATTATTCCGACTATTTTCCATGTCATAAATCCAAGCTCAAGATGTAGTCATGGCTGAACCTATAGTCATCCTATAACAGTATAACAGGTAAGAAAAGCACTAAAATCGCCTCACTAAATTCAAAATATAAACCGTAACATGCACTGATATCACGTCAAAAGGCCAAATAAGGATCATTTTAGTGCTAATAGCCTAAAAGCACAACAAAAGCCAAAAAAAAAAAAAAATTGGTGATCCATTGCCTGATGTCACATGTTCCTGTTTTTCACAATCTGAACAAAAAAAAAAAAGAAGAAGAATCACCCACTTCATGTGCTGTTGCTATCATGTTCATCATGCCTCATTGCATCACAGTGGAGGAATTAAGATTTTAATTCACAATCTATTGAAGGAGAAATACAGATTTCACTACCAAAAGATAATAGAGACTACAAAAATGCATGTTGGATATTACGCGATTAATTTAGGAAGCGAAGTACCACACTAAATGAATTAAGATTTCATTTCAAAATTCATTAAAGAGAAAGAGATTCAACAACAATAATTTCATTGATACTATAACAATCTATGTAAGGTATGAAGCAATTAATTTAGGGTACCTGATCTGCCTTATCTGTTCAAAGAGATCAGCAGAATAAATATTATCATCATCTGCAAAGTAAATGATTCCATCAAGGCGGTGCTTTTCAATGTGCGACAGAGCCACATTTCTTTGATGCACACCTCTATCTTTCACTTCCGTTAAGTTCTTACTGCATACAAGATGCCTGTGAATGACACCTGTTCTTCTCAATATGTCAGCTGTTTCCATGGACTGAGATGTCATCTCCACAACTATCCACAACAAAGGAGGAGGGACCAATTTCAATGTGTATGCCAAACGATTCAGATAATAGGCTTGAAATGGCCGAGCATGTGTTGGGGTCACAATGATCAAAAGTTTATGAAACACCATAGTAGAATTTTTAATGAGTGATTGGTTAAGAAGAGTGTCATTCAAAATCCCTCTTCTTGGTTCCCCTTTCACCACATGTGGCTCTAATGTAGCACTATCATTAGTGGCCGATCTGTCCACTAAAGGTGTCATATTTCTGGGCACAACATCATAAAAGCGAACGTTTCCAACAGGAGGAAAAACCTCAAAGGAGATGACTTGGTGTTTGGTCACAAGATTGATGGGTAAATCCAATGAAACAAATGGGGCAAGTCCAACAAGAACCCCAACCAAGAAAAATATGGAAAAATGGAAAAGAGCCCTCCTCCAAAATTGCCCCTTAAATTTTGGCCTTTCCAAGGGCTGAGAAGATCGTTTTGAGAAAATACCAAGAGCAAAAGCTTGAGCTCTGTACCATGCATAGGCCAATGAGCCAAAAGAACACACCAAATCTCCCCTTAAGGAATAGTTCTGATTGAAGGAAGAAGACTTGGACAAGGGAGAAGGAGCTGAACAGCCTTCCCCATTCAGAAAAGTCCCAGGTCGAGGCACTGGAGACATCGTTCTTCTAATTGAAGCCATTAAAACTAAACCCGAGCAAGTTGTCTTCTCTAAGTCTAAAATTATTACCAGATATCACATTCACCACAAGTGATATTCAAAACTATCTTCTCATATTCCATCCAATTTAAAGAATGTGAACAAGACTATTGGGGCACATAAGCAATCCTTACTAGTGTGATCTAATGAAAAGCTGCAAGAAATTTGTATAAAACCCAAATGATAAATTAGCCAGTTCAATTCCATATAAAGTTATTGCCTCTTAAAAAACATCCACAACAGCAGTAAATCAGGGGCAAATCAAACCAACACAAATGCCAAAACAATGAAACAATTAAACTGCCTCTCCTGTATCAACTAGCTTAAACCCAATTACAAATACAAACCTCTTCAATTCCAATTCATCATCGAGGCATTCTCATCATATCCAAAGTTCTCTATTCCACCTCTAGCCCAGCAGTAACATAATTTTGCCCAGCTTTCTTCTTATGTGCACATGCGAAAAAAGGAACCTCTTGAAACGCAAATAAAAAATGTCACTTTATAACAAGTATGACAAAGCCAAATCTAAGCAATCTTAAAGAGGCCATCAACAAGTATCCAGCAACCAAATCTCTAAGTAAATCAAGTAAAACCCAAAGTATTCATTCACCAAATAAAAATTCCAAAGCATACATGTCGGGCCGCCAAAAGTAGAAGATTTCAAGCTCCAACATGGAAATACGCAGAGAGAAGAAATGGGTTACCACCTTTTTTGACCAAAAAGAAACGGGTCTTGGATCTCCTGAACCAATTCGTACGGAGGAGAGAGAGCACTGGCAGTCTCTCTTCGTTTTGGTGGTGTGAAGGCTTTTTGGCGCTTTAGAAGTCCAGTTGCTGTTTTGAAGAAATTCTTCTATGCTTATGAATCAAACGGAGAGTGCATTGCGAATGTGTAGTGTGTCGAATCTGACTTCACGTTGAGAATGAGAACATAGAACAGAGAGAAAAATGTGTGTGCGCCAAAGACAACACACCCAATTGACATAGGACCGAGGAAGAACAGTGGGGTTTGTGTCTCTTTCCTCTTACACTATATATAGCACATAAATCGTACAAAAACAATACAAATAGACCACGAAGTGAAATTACTATTGGCTATTGTTAATAAAGACATGGAAATTGCATTTATTGGATATCGGACACACATCTCAATTAATTTTTGCGTTGATTCGATCAGATAAGATAATCTTGGTTAACTTTTTTGAGGGCGACTTACCTGAAAAGAAAAAAAAACTTTTGAGGGTGAAGCTAGAGAATGTAAACTTCAATGACTTGCTTAACAATTACTATAATAAATAAATTTATTTACATATATAATAAAGTTCGGTTGAATTCATAGTAAGTGATAAGAAAAAAATTTTAAAAAAACATATTAAAAATAATTTCAGTCATGATACCCAATAAGTGAATTATGTTAATAATGAGTATTTTTCGATGAATTAATATCCTTTCATGAAATGTAATTAACCATCCTATCACTTAGTAATTAATAAAACTTCAAGAATTTTTCCAAATAACTGTAAGTATTGAAGAAATATGTATATGGACATACATGTGTATTGAACACAAGAATTATTTAAACCAGCAATTTTTCAAATATAAGACAACAAATCTAACCTTAAGAAGACGAGGAAAAGAGAATCACTATTGGTTCATAGTTGTTTAATCTTTTAATGTTTGTTAACCACGGGAGAATCTTTCAATTAGTGTTAAAAACTCATGTGTTTATTACTTCATAGAAATAAAATAACTGAATTAGTTGTCTAAAACTATTCCTTTAACTAAGAACTCTCTTTGATTACTTGTCATTAAAGTGTTTTTTAGTAATAAATTCATCAAAAACAATTAAGTAATTAATGGGTTAAACAACATGATTCACATAGACCTTCTTTCTTATTTTGTAAGTTTCACCAATACCTACCCGTATAGAAAGCATGAAAGTTTAAGTATTAATGACATCAACACGACATTCAATAGGATGAAAAGTTTTATCATCAACATTTATGTAATGAACATTCTAAGATACTAACTTTGTTGATGAGTACTTAATTTTAAAATCATCTTTTTCCGGAATGTGCCCAAGTGTTTATTATCATGAAATAGTTGAAGCTTTTTTGGTTTTGAGTTAAAATTTTGCAAGTAGCTGTCAATTGTTGATTATTGAAAGAAAATATAGATACGTGAATCTTATTGTAATGAGAAAGATTGAGAGGAACGTCGTAGTAGGACACCGGCTTGTCTCAATCTAAGACTTTAAGATGCCCAATTGGATCTAGGCTTACTAAAAATAAATAACTACTTTGTGCTTCAATGTTGTATTTATATTGTATGTAGAATAATTGGTGTATTAGTGCGAGATGTTTCTTTTTTTTTTTGGGATGTATTAGTCCGAGACGTTACTGACGAATAATAAGTGAATTGATGTCGGATTAAAAAAAAATCATGTAATGTAGTCACTCTTTTTCTCACGTTTTGTGGACTTATGAAACATTATTTATATAATCCTTCCCAAATCCGAGATCTGTTGACAACTCATTCCCAAATCAAGATTCCATCTAGTGGAGTTCAACATTACTAAACTATCTTAGTCATATCGAATTGAGCTGATTCATTCATATTTCCCAAAATAGAAAACATTGAATTTTTTACCATATAGTTGGTGTATTGAAAATACCCTTTACTCCTAAAAACTCCTCTGGTCCTCTATAATGCTTATTTTAGTCTATATAGTGTGTTTCTCATGCTTGTTTCCATAGTATAAATTTATTGTGAGGACCCATTGAGCTATCTCCATGTTATTTGGATACTTTTCAGGACATTTTTCAACAAATCTCCTCGAGTATATATGAATAGGTTTATCTACTATAATTGGGTGAATGAAACTTTGTACTTTAAAATATTATCAATTTCTCAATTTACGTATTAAAATTCTCACACTATATCCTCAACTAGATAAAGAGGTAGTATTATAGTACAAAAATAATGTTTGTAACTTTTTTTGACAAAATTTTTTGTTTTATTTGTCATATTATTTTGTTTCTATAAACATTTATTTGCATAATACTCAAATTTTTTTAGTGTTTTTAATAGAAATCTAATGCTCGGTTTCCTTAAAATGGAGCGCATTACTACATTAATGTTTGATTGGTGGTGCAATATGATAATTTCAATCTTTAAGGGAGTAAAATTAAAGATTCAAAGATCTTTTATTCTGCAAAGTGTCATTTGCCCCTTTACTAAAACACAACAAATGTCTAATCATTTAGGATTCAAAAATAATATATTGTTTGAATTAATGATAAAGGCAATCGAATAGAATATTGCTTTTGACCCAAAAAAAAAAAAGAATATAATATTTTCTCAAAAATAATGGTGACCTTATCTATTTTCACAAATTCTTGCTAGCTGAAGCTATCAAAATCCTTGCAACGTAATAAGCAATGTCTTCAAAAACACTACCTCTATATATGTTACGTATTAACTATTTCTTTAAAGTATTCATTCGTTACACGTGCTATAGTTTTTCACGTGGATGTAAGACGAAAATGAAATGCTCTAAAATTACCATGTATACTATCAATTTCATATTCATTTAACATATCATCGTGCAGTTTTTCAAAGTACTAGATTAATTATTGTAAATTCTAAATGAGATCTATTATATTTAAGCATCGATCATTGATATGCAATAGTGATCTGGCATTGAGTAAAACGAAAACGAATTATAGATTCGATGCTATTACTTACACAACCCTTCATACGTTTAGACAATAACTGTCTCTCACTTGAACATATCTTTGGTGATTATAGTCCTGAAAAAAATAGTCTAGAACAAGATATGTTACTCTATCACTAGCCCACTTCCTAAAATAATTTCTTAATAATTACTTCTAATATTACATAAAAAAATATATTAAAAATATGTACATAACAAGATATATGTTGGAAACAATAACATATGAAGTAAGTAATTGTAGAGGAATGTTCTATTTAAAGTGATCACAGAGGTATCAAAAACATTCATAGCTTTTGACATGGGTGGCAACTATACGTGTTTAAATTTAAACATAAACAATTGTGTCTATCTAATTTAACCACAATTGTCATTTTTATTTACTTTCAATAATTAATTATCTTTAATTTTAAACAATATCTATTCCAAAAATTTGAAGACCCACCCGCCGAACCGAAACTCGCGCCAACGTGGCTTGTGCGACTTATGCTACGATACTTACTTGTGCGACTTATGCTACGATGCTTACTTGCAAAGTGCACCTAAAACGTCAACGTGACTTTGTAACGCGTGACCACAACAATAGACTTAGTCATACAAGCTTTCATGTGTCTTTCTTTCGTGCCAAGTAAATGCATATATACGTCTCTAGATACTTATCATAAAACTTTTTTACAGCCGATGTGGGACAATGAATTTCTTTTTCAATAAAAAATACATTTTTGAGGGATGTTTTAAAATCTCATGCCAAAAAAAAAAATGTATACATAGTTATTTTGAAATAATCCAACACTTGATTCATTGTATAATCAGTATAATTGCGACAACCCATTTTCCCTAAGTTAAGTTCTCAAGATTCTCTTGTTTTTTCATGGTAAATGATTTGAAATCTTTTACTCAAGGGTATACTTACAATATGATCTACTCCAGTCCTCCTTTTAAATATAATTTTAGTAACATAATTCTATTGTGGTTTAATTAAAAACAATAGTGATGAAATTCGAATTCGACTTATATTATTTCTAGTTGTCATACTTTTAAAACCAGACTAATGGTTAAAACGAGATAGAATATTCTAAATATAAATGGTTGATGCTTAGTTCTAATGTGGTCCTCATACTAACATCCGTTTCAAATTCTATTAAAAATTGACGCATGTGCCATCCACGTGTGTTGCTCTTGGACAAAAGTATAAATTCACCATTCATATCTTTGTGTGGCATGTGCATCAATTTTTAACGGAATTCGAAACAAATGTTAATTTGTAGGTCACATTAAAACTAATTTATGCAATGTAAAAAAAAAAAATTTTGGGGTACAAAATAAAAATCGAAACATCTTTTGTGGTGTAAAATGCGAAAAGCCCAAAATGCAATATTAGAGGATTGATCATTTGTTCTAATGCGAACGGCCACATCATGCAAAATAGATTAATTGACCAAACTTAACTGTGTGCATATGTATTTGGGAAAAGTGTATAGTACCAAAAGTTATAATTTTTTTATGGTAAAATTGTATTTTTAAAATGATAAGTTACAACTGCGTAAGGGAAAGGCCATAATTGATTATGAACTTCTCTTAAACAGTTGTAACTTCTTTCTTATGAGTTTAAAATTAATATTT